GGGAAGGGGAAGGGGTAGAGAGATAGGGAAGGGAGAGAGGGAAGGGGTAGAGAGATGGGGAAGGGGTAGAGAGAGAGGGAGAGGGAAGAGAGAGAGGGAGAAGGAGTCGGGGGAAGGGGTAGAGAGATGGGGAAGGGGAAGAGAGATGGGGAAGGGAGAGGGGGGAGTGGGGGGAGGGGAATGGGAAGAGAGAGCCAGGTGAGAAGGGGGAAGGGGGAAGGGGTAAGGGAGAGGGGGAAGGGGTAGAGAGAGAGGGAGAGGGAGTGGGGGGAAGGGAGAGGGGGAAGGGGAAGGCGAAGAGCAAGAGGGAGAGGGAGTGGGGGGAAAGGAGGTGGGTAGGGGTGTGGGAAGGAAGAAGGAGGAGGAGGAGGAAGAGGGAGAGAGAGGGGAAGGGCAAGGTGGAGGAGAAATGGGAAGGGATAAAGGAGGGGAAGGAAAAAGAAAGGAAATATATATAGAGAGGAGAAAGGTGAAGAGAGAAGATAATGGTGAAAGTAAAAAGTGGAAAGGAAAGAAAAGGAAGGGGAGAGAAATAGGAAGTGAGAAAGGGAGAGATAATAGAGAAGAGGTAAATGAAAGAAAAAAATAGATAAAACGGGGAAAGAAAGCAGAATAATTAAAGAAAGAATGAAAACAAATAAGACCATTCATCAAAATCAACAAAATAATAAATACCGATATATGATATATGCATAAGTGTCATTAATATCAATACATTTATTCATTCTTGACACCAACATCCATAACCCCCCCCCCCCTACACTCTACACTCCTATTAAAATTCCGTACACCACATATACATTACGTAAGCTTCACTTCCCTTTACCAAGTGCCCTAAATCCTTTCGTATTTTTCCCACCCAGTCTTTCAGAAGAGAATGTTCACTAAGTTCAGACGACACGTTCACCGTCGGAGGCCAGAATGCATTGCAGGTCGAGAGGGATTACTTCTACTCGGAGAAAGCTGCGTGCAAGACAGGTAAGTGGAAATATTATGATCGTTAGTATTATTTGTTTTTTGTTGCTGTTGTTGTTTTGTTGTTATTATTATTATTATTATTATTATTATTATTATTATTATTATTGTTATTATTATTATTATTATTATTATTATTATTATTATTATTATTGTTATTATTATTATTATTGTTATTATTATTATTATTGAAATTATCATCATCATCATTATTATTATTATTATTATTATATTTATTATAATAATAATTATTATTATTATAATCATTATTCTTATTATCTTGTTATTATTGTTATAATTACTATTATTATCATTATCATTATTATTATCATTGCTTTTGTTGTTGCTGTTACTATTATCATTTCTTGCCATGAGATGCGTAACAACCAACATAACCCTCGGAATTATGATCACTATATAAGTACTCATCGAATTCATAAGAGGAAAATCAGAAGAGGAAATAACGATAATAATAACGAAAGTTATAATAATATGATGAGTAACACAGATAATAAGAATAACAACAACAACAACAACAGTCTCTCGAATACACAAGTAGAAAATTATAAATAACAGTAATAATCATAACAATTAAATTAAAAACAACAATAACGGTTACTCGAATACATAGACAGAAAATTATAAATAACAATAACAATCGTAACAATTATAATTAAAAAATAACAACAATAACAAAACAAACAGACAAACAAACCAGATAACCCAAAAAAATAATATAACCACAACCCTACGCCCACCTTATAACCCTCTCCTCTCTCTCCCCCGCCCACAGTGAAAGTCGACTGCACGCCCACGGATATGGTAGTGACTTTCAGCTTCGGCACGGCTTTCGAAGGACGCATTTACGCCACGGGGAATGCGCAGGCGTGCTTCGAGATGGGAAATCGTCAGACGCAGGTCTTCTTGAGGTTGCCGCTGGGTGCTACTTGTGGAACGCAGGAGGAGGTGAGGAAGAGAGGGAGAGAAGGGGGGAGGAGAGTGGGAGGGAGGGAGAGAAGGGGGGGAGGAGAGTGGGAGGGAGGGAGAGAGGGAGAGGGAAGGAGAACTGCCAGACGCACGTTTTTTTTTCTTTTCCCTAGCAAATAAGACAATACTTGTAATGTATAATCCACCTTTTTCTTCCTCATTAATACCCCACCAAGTGATTCAGTAATCACATTCTCTGTCTCTTCCTCTCCACCTGGCGACTACCAGAATAACCCTTTTCTCTCCTACCAAACGATACCACACAACCCATCTTAGACCCTTTCTCTCTCATAAAACCCTACCAGACAACCCAATTTACATTTTTTCTCTTACCAAGCGATACCACACACCCCCACCTTATCCTTTTCTCTCCTACCAAACGATACCACACAACCCATCAACCACACACACTAACCTCCTTTCTCACAGGCTCCGGGCAAATTCGTGAACACGGTGGTGGTTCAACAACACCCTCTCATCATGCAAGAATCGGACAGGACGGTCAGAGTGGAGTGTTCTTTCGAGGCAGGAGACCAGACCGTGAGCTTCGCCCCCCAGGCAGGTGCGGGCAGGACAGGAGGAGGCATTGATATCAAGTAAGTAAACCACAGGGTAACTGGGGAGTTAAAACCAAGGCGTAAAGAGGGGTGTTTATACCATGGGAGAGGTATACCCTAGGATACAGGAGGAAGGGGCACAGAGGGAGGGATATCATGGGGCACAGGAGGAGTGTTACCATGAGACACAGGGGTACTTATACCATAGGGCACATGAGAGACGCCACAGGAGAGGGAAAGGGAAGAGAGCGGGTGAGAGCCGGATATACCGAGGGACGGAGAGGGAATGGAAAGGGTGAAAGACTGTGTGCTTGATCAAGCTAAGTTTCCCTACCTCTTTCCCGATTTTCCACACGTACACCAAATCCCTGAAACCAATTATATAAACCACACCACCCCAAGGGACAGAAAACTTTCCCAAACCTGTCAGTGAACGTCAGAATGCCACAGAACACCCTCCAAAAGTAACGAAAGAGAAGAAAGGGCGGTGTAAGAGAGCTGCCAAGAGAGAGAGAGAGAGCGTTAAAGAGAGCACCGCTGTGGCCTGAAGATCTCGTTGCCTTAGTCTTTCCGTCTGTCTCAATTCCCCAACAGATATAAAACCCACGTCATGATGCTTGGCGAACGTGGCAGTGATGGGCTTCAAGTGGAGTGAGTATGCCTATTCGTGATGATAAAAGAGGTTTCCGGAGGCTTCTGCACACGGGGCTTCGTGTGTTGTAGAGTTGTGGCCTTCTTAAACAGACTCGAAGCTTCTTTAAAGAGTTGGGAAGGCTTCACGTGGTGTAAAGTTGTACCTTGGGCTTTCTATGAAAGACTGGAGGCTTCTTTGCGATCTTCACAATGCTTCAGGTGTTGTAGTGTTGAGCCGGTTTGCTTCTTCACAGGGTTTCCAAAGCTTCTGTGTCGGCGATGACAGACTAGAGGCATCTTCACGGGATTTCACGTATTGTAGAATTTTGTCTTGAGGATTATCACAGGGGCTTCCAACGCTTCATGTTTTAATGAGTTGTGTCAGAGAAGACGGACTGAAGGCTTCTGGATGGGGCTTCATGCGCAGATTTCTGGATGTAATTTCACTAGTCATCGAGGCTTCGTATGCTGTTGGACCGTGAGAAAACAGAAGGGTTCTTCACAGAGCTTCACAAGGCTTCCTATTTTATAGAAGTGTGGAAGAAGAAAGAGAAGGAAGGCTTCTTCACCGGGCTTCATTAATTATAGAGTTAAGCCTGCTATGACAAATTAGAGATTTCTGTACAAAACCTCATGTATAGTAGAGTTGTACCGGCTATGATCTACTTAAACCTTTTTCATATAATTTTTATTGTTATGTCTTCTAGTACTGATACGGTTTCCAGGGCGCTTCATGGGATGTAGACAGAGGCTTCTCCGCTGGGCCTCATTTGCTATAGAGAAATGCTGGCGAAAACAGAATTGAAGCATAGGGCTTCAGGAGCTGTTGGCTTCAGGCAGGCTGTTCCAAAAGGCCTTTAAGAAAGGGATTATAGTCATACATTTGCTTTGATATAATATATTTTTAGAATTATTTTCTTGTTTTAGATTTTGCTTTGCTGTCGCTATGTGTAATATATATTCAGAGCTTTTTGGTTGAGAGAGAGACAAAGAGAGAGAGAGAGAGAGAGAGAGAGAGAGAGAGAGAGAGAGAGAGAGAGAGAGAGAGAGAGAGAGAGAGAGAGAGAGAGAGAGAGAATCTGTACACATGCATACGGTATATATATTTACTGTGTATGTATGTGTGTGTGTGTATGTGCGTGTGTGTGTGTGTGTGTGTGTGTGCGTATACATGTTAATATATAACAGACAGATATACATACCACTAATTCCACACGAAACAAGCACTACGAGAGATCACCTTTTCCTTCCATGCTGCTCAGTGACGAGGTGGTAACAACAAACCTAATTTTGGGTTTCCAGAGAAGGAAATCCAATAGGTAGGACACGTTTTTTTCTTCACCCGAGAATGTGGATTGCATTGATGTGGATTTCTTTCTGTTGGATTTTTATTACGATTGCGTTTTTTTTTGCCCCTTTGTTTTTGTTGTTTTTGTTTTTGTTTATGTTTTGTGCGCATCACGATGTGTTTTTTTTCACAGTTGTTGTTGTTGGTTCACGATATATATATATTTTTTTAATGCTTTTATTTTGTGTTTATTAATTACTGTATTTTTTTTCATTGCAACGGCATTTGTATGCTTTTATTTTCACGATGCACAGCTTTGCAACACAATGTTGAATTTTGATCTTGCATTAACACGTTTCTGAAATTCCGTTGACGATATCTATTGTTCATTTTAAACCTCTGTGGGTGGAAATGAACAAAATAATGAAATAAATATAAATATAAAGAGATATATGATTTTGTAATCGTATAAGAAGTTTTTGATTTAGAAAAAAAACAGAATTAAACGTTTAAAACACTTTAAAAACAGTGACTCAGAAGAAGAAAGATTACAAAAAAAGGCAAAAAAAAAGAGTGAGAAAGAGGAAAAAAAAACAAGAAAAACGAAAAGCAAACCAAAAAACAAAACAAAACAAAAACTAAAACCTCATTTCATTTTTCTCCCCCCCTTCCCCCCCCTCCCCTCCTTCCTTCCCCCCCACCCTCCCACCCAACAGCGCCGGTTTCAGACCCGTGGGCGACACCGACATCATCAGCAACACCGCCCCCACGCCCACCGTCCGCATGCGCATCTACAAGGCCACGGGACAGGAGGCGAACAACGTTGACCTCGGCGAACTCCTGACGCTGAAGATCGAGATGGAACAGACCTCCGCCTTCGCCATCTTCGCCAGGAATCTTGAGGCCAGGACGGATAACGGGGAGATTATGACCCTTATTGACAACATTGGGTGAGTAGTACGGAGGGGTTAGGGGATGGGAGGGGAGGGAGGGGGAGGGAAGGGGTTCTGGGTATAGGGATGGGTGGAAGTAGGGTGAGGGGGGGTTGGGAGAGGGAAAGGAGGGAGGGCAAGAGAAAGGGAAGATTATATATGTGTGTGTGTTTGTGTGAGTGTGTGTGAATATATATATATATAGAGAGAGAGAGAAAGAGAGAGAGAGAGAAAATTAAACAGAGTGGAACACAAAGAGAGATTAAGACCAAGAAGAAAATAAAACAGTATATATCCTAACCACATTCCCCCCTCCCCCCCAGGTGTCCCCGCTACCCCAGCATCTTCCCAGAACTGCAGGTGGAGGAGCGAACCAAGAGTCTTTTCGGCAACTTCAAGGCCTTCCGGTTCCCGTCCACCGCCAGAGTCAACTTCGTGGCCACCATCCGGTTCTGCCAGGAACGTTGCGAACCGGTAAGTCTCTCTGTGGTTCTAGGGAGGAACTGGTTCTAGAGAGGTTCTAGAGAGGAAGGGAGATTAACTGGGGGACTGGTGCGAACCGGTAAGTCCCTCTGTGGTTCTAGGGAGGAACTGGTTCTAGTGAGGTTCTAGGGGAAGGGAGAGTAACTGGGAGACTGATGCGAACCGGTAAGTCTCTCTGTGGTTCTAGGGAGGAACTGGTTCTAGAGAGGTTCTAGAGAGGAAGGGAGAGTAACTGGGGGACCTGATGCGAACCGGTAAGTCTCTCTGTGTTTCTAGGGAGGAACTGGTTCTAGAGAGGTTCTAGGGAAAGGGACAGTAACTGGGGACCTGATGCGAACCGGTAAGTCTCTCTGTGGTTCTAGGGAGGACCTGGTTCTAGTGAGGTTCTACAGGAAGGGAGAGTAACTAGGGGACCTGATGCGAACCGGTAACTAGGAAGACTGGTTCTAGTCTCTCTGGGGGTTCTGCTGTGGTTCTAGAGAGGTTCAAGGAAAGGGGAGATTCGCAAGTTTTTTTCTTTTTAGTAAGGCTATAAAAAGGTTCTTAAAATGGAGATAGAGAAGAAATTGATGTTGGTAATAGAGTTCATAGAAAGATAATTATGTATATATATATATTTTTTTTATAGAATTAAAAGTTGGAATATCTTTACTTTTCTTTCCATAGAAAAAAAAATCAAGAAGTGAAAGTCAAAAGGGATGAAGACAAAGACTCCTAGAACCTCGAGTAATAAGAGAAAGCTAAGATTAAAAAAAAGAAAAGAAAAAAAAATTGCAGCTTTCCTTCATTCCTAATCCCCTTCTCCAATCATCATAATGCATAACCGTCCTTCCCTAATCCAATAATCTTCCGGCCTTAGTCTTACTTTCCCAGTCCCTAATCCCCATTCCCAATTACTAATCGCATCTTCCCCATTTCCTATTTTTCATCCCTAATCTCTAGCCTTTTATTCCCGTTCCCTAATCTTCTTCCCGAATCATCATCCTTATTTCCAATCAGCATATCCTCCCCAAATCTTGATGATAATCCTCCCAATTTTCCGAATCTTTATCCCCTAATCTTTATCCCGTAATCCTTAACCTTCCTCCCCATTCCCTAATCTCCCATTCCTAATCCCTAATCCTCCTCCCAATCCCTAATCCTCCCCATTCCCTAATCTTCCTCCCCTTTCACTAATCTTCCTCCCCATTCCCTAATCTCCCATTCCTAATCCCTAATCCTCCTCCCCATTCCCTAATCTCCCATTCCTAATCCCTAACTTTCCTCCCCACCCCCTAATCCTCCTCCCCTTTCACTAATCTCCCTCCTCATTCCCTAATCTTCCATTCCTAATCTTCCTCCCCCATCAGGTGTCATGCGGCGCCGGAGTAGTGTCCTACGGCCGCCGCCGCCGCCGGGCAGCGAACTCGACCCTCTACGACGCCGAGTCCAAGGCCTTCCACGAGGACGACCTCGAGGACGACGAGATGATCCTCGAGCTGGAGACGGCGGGATCGACGACCGAGGACGCGTTCACCCTCAGCGTCACTTCCGGAGGCCCACTCGACTCGACGCTCCTCGAGAATCTGCTCGATACGACGCGGTTGGTTTTTTTCAGTTCTTTTTATTTTTTTTTTTTTTTTAGTTTATTTTGGATTTTTTTTTT